TAGAAAATCACATAGAGCCCTTATGTTTTGCCATAAAGATCAATGCGAATTATGTCTGTTCCTCTTGATCTATTTTTCTGGGCCTGCCTGCCAAGAGATTCTATACAAGGAAGATAATAGATGTGTTACGGGTTAAATTGTGTCCCTCTCAAAAATATGTTGAAGTCCTAGTCCCTGTTACCAGTGAATGTGACCTTATTTGGAAATAGGGTCTTTACAGATATAATCAAATTAAAATGAGGTCATGAGGGTGAGCACTAATCCAGTATGACTGGTGTCCTTACAAGAAGAGGAAAATGTTTTGTGAAGACAAGCAGAGATCAGAGAGAAGCAGCAGTAATCCAAGGAATGCCAAGGGTTGACAGCTAACAACAGAAGCGAGGAAGGGGTAAAGAAGGATTCTCCTTAGAGTCTTAGAGCATGACCCTGTGGACACCTTCATTTCAGACTTCAAGATTCTGCAGCTTGGAGACAATAAATTTCCTTTGTCCTCAGCTACCCAGTCTCTGGTAATTTGTATGGCAGCTTTATGAAGCTAACGTAATATGAACACATCTACTTAAAAATATAGGGGAAGGGAGGAAGAAAAGAGAAAAATAAGTGAGAAGGGAAACTGAGTCAAGGATATTCCAGAGGATTAAAAAAATTCTAGTCTAGGAGATACTTACCAGATGTTTTCCAGAAAAATTAAATGTGGGAAGAAAAGGGAAGTGAGGAGGCTGTCAACATGTACTGAACACTTACAGTGAGGCTGGGCAAGGTGTTGAGTGCTGTCCACGTTACCAGACTTAACCCTCATATCTTGGTGAAGTAGGTGTAATTATCATTATTTTACTGATGAGAAGAGGAAGTGTAATAAGGTTAAGTAACTTTATCACACAGACATTAGGTGGGAGATCTGAACTGTTTCAGTTCTACTTGAAAAATCTAATCACTTTCTTCTAGACCAGGTATCAGCAAACTATGGCCAGACACAAAGGTCAAATCTGGGCTGCTCTTTGTTCTTGAAAATAAAGTTTTATTGGAACACAACTATAACTGTCACTGCTTTTACACAGCAGTAGTGGAGTTCAGTTGTCTTCACAGAGGCTTACAGCCTGAAGAGCTGAAAATGTTTTCTATCAGGCCCTTTCCAGAAAATTTTCCTGAACCCTTTTCTTGACATGTACAAGAAAATCTGTATGTGAGGCTTTCCTGATGCTCAACTCTTGAGTGAGTTCTTTTATGTCTGAGGCTGTTTTTCTATCAAATGTAGATAATACCTCAACGTTTTTCTGAGAATCATTTGATGTAATGAGTATTAATGAACATTATAAATTGTATAGAAACATGCAAACCTAAGTAGTTAACATTTAAAAGTAGTAAAAACCCATTATTTAAAATTTTTTTTCAGGTTCCTTGATGGCTCGGTCGGTTAAGCATCTGACTCTTGATTTTGGCTCAGGTCATGATCTCACTGTGGTTTGTGACATGGAGCCCTACATCGGGCTCTGCACGGACAAGGTGTAGCCTGCTTGGGATTCTCTCTCTGCCCTCCCACCCTCTCTTTCTCTCTATTAAAATAAATAACTAAATAAATAATAAACATTTTTAAAAATCTCATTTTAATATTGAAAAAAACACTACTTTATGGCTTTAGATTTTTGCTAAGTTATTTTATTCGGTTTGTCTTATTAACAAAAGTTATAGGCAGATTTACTTTCCAAGCTGCTTTCCTTGTAAAGGGTCCCTCTGTGCGGGGTGGTCCTTCTTTCCTAGAGATCAGTTTGTTCTGTGATCAAAACTGAGGGTTTTTTTTTTTTCTCAAAAGGCAGAATTTAATCTATGTGGTGGGCCACCATGAGAACATTCCTCACATTCCAAAAGAGGGAGGTTTTCAAATATAAAGACTTGGCAATCCCCTGATTAAGTCTAACGAATCTGATGCCTTTCTTTAGTCTTTATGTTTAGGTGGGAAGTTATAATAACATAAGGCTGTATCATTTCATTCAGTGTCCTGTCCAGATTTTAAAATTTAATTCTTTCCATATATTTTGACAGAACATTCCCTAGGGGTCAACATTAAAGGCTGCCGGATCATAAAACAGGTACTTATTTTATCAGAACTCCCATGATTGCTTGCTGTAGGCTCGTAGGCTAAGGTTTTAAGCTCAGAGTTGTCTTTCTGTATCCTTACCAATGCCTGGACTAAAACCCAATCTTATCAAATCCCCTTTCCTCATTGTGTTTGCACTTGACATGTTGGAGCCCAGAGTTGGTGCATCTACCTGTTTTCTGTTAATAAGATACATTGTCACCGTGTGGTATGGCATACAAGAAATCAGATAACTGGAAACATTTGCAAAGCCTTTGTGTTTGAATACAGAAATGTTAATACCATCTATTTCTGTCAGTTTTTGTGCTATTTCAAAATTCAGGACTCTGTAGTCTCTGTCCGAATGTTGACTATCTACTTTACCTTGCTCAGTTACATAATAAAATAACACATGCTAAAAATTCTCTTTTAGGTAGGATGATGTTTGGGAAGCATTGGTGTAGTTCTACTAGCTATACTGGATCATGAGACCTAATTGTTGAAAATATCAGAAATTTGTGAGCTAGTTGTTAAAAACAGCCATTAATAAAAACAAAATTATATACGTGTATAGTTAAATAAATTACAGTAGAAACAAAAGTCATAAAGACTCAAAACTTATCAGCTCATAATTGTGATACTACATTTTACTATTCTCTCTTGGAAGTATTTTCACATGTGTCTATCTTGGAAATACTGGGTAATGGTATGCCACTGTGTATCTGTTCACACCTCCACCATTTTGCCACGTGACATTGTCTGCTTGAAATCGGCCCTGGTGGGAATGTTTATACAATGGAAATTAGCAGATGCAACAAACCAGAGCTTTTTTTTATAGTTGTTTCTTGAATAGCAAGATGTTAAATTTTTATCAGTTCATCAGTGTTGAAAAGTCCTGTAACAACAACAACAACAACAAAAATTAGTCCTGTAATATTTCCTTGGCGCACACAAGAGTTTTCTGTGTCCGTTCATTATTGTACAGGTAAAACTAATTAGGAATTGTTTTGATAGAAAGAAGTCTCTCTGTCCATATGTGGAATGTCTTTCTTATCCTCGCCACATAGTATTAGCTACATGAGAGCAAGAACTTTGTCATGTCCACTATGAATTGTCAGCATTTGAACAGAGTGCAGACAAAGAAGTTGTTCAGTATCTGCTGAATATACTGCTACATAATGATATCATGAATAGCAACATTATCACTATCACATAAAGCACTTATAAAACACAGTATACCAGAGGCTGTTCTGTATGTAGGAACTCCGTTAATCTTTACAGCGATTTTATGGTATAGATAACGTAATTTTAATTTACAGATGAGGAAATTTAGGCACACAGAAAGTGGGGTAGGTTTTCCATAATCATACATGAATAACTATGCAGTTACCAAAAATAGTTTCTGTAACATTGTAGCTTTCTTGTAAGTAAACTGTAGCACATTTTCACAATTTTGCCCGATTAAGTAAATATCTGAACTCTTTTTAGTGTGAGCTTTATTCAAATTACTTAGAAACTTTAAAGTTTTTCTTCCAAGATGGCTGATTTAGAAACTATTAATCTTATTGTACCTAAATACTATTCACTTATATACGTTGGTGCTTTTAGAAGTCTTTGCAAATTCTATTTCTTATGATTTGAGAGCTTTGACTTTTCTTGTGACCGATCTCTATTTCATTCTAATGACTCGTGGCATTTCTCACCTCTGAGAATGATCTATGATCTAACTAGTCCACATTCTGGTGGCTGTCTACCTGTGTCTGTTGGTTCGGAGACTTAATTTCTTGGTAGGCATCATTGTTGGATTAAATGATTCAGTCACCGACCTCTCTAAGCAGATGGAAGAACAGTCATGCAGTTGTAAGCAGAGGACTGTATAGATGTCTAAAGACTACAGATTGGAGATATTTTTTAAAAATGAAAAATATTCTAAATTGGAAAGTTTATTCTCCTAAACTTTGGGGTTGCTAGATTATTCCAAATTTCATTAGGAAGAACATTGCCAGTAATCAGGAACTTGGCATTGAGAAAATTGCCCATCACTTCCAAGTAGGTAGATCTACCTGCTGTCTGCTTGAATATTTCACTGAGTTTATGACAGTGACTCATCATGCTCCTCACAAAGGTTAAAAACTAAGCAAAAGATTTTTGATAAGTTAAAAGTTTAATGTCATGAATTGGATTCCGTGGAAATTTCTTTAAAAGTTTTCAGCAAATGAGCTCATAGACACTGTCTCATTTGACAGCTACATCCCCATGAAATTAGATTTTTACAATATGAGTCGGGTAGAGATGACAGTTTAAGTAGAAAATGGCATTAAAACTTCTGATTTTTTTTTTCATTTCATAGAAAAGAGACAGTGATGGCAGAGTTTCGTGGAACCTGCGAGTGCTCAGAAATGGGAATTTTGCATCTAGTTCCTGGTTACGCAGTATTTCTGCTTTGAAATGATAGCATGGAATGATCCCTGGTGTGATCCAGGAAGTGACAAGAAAATGGCTGAGAACAGGAGTTAGGGGAGTTTTCCAGTAACACTTGTGCATGTGTGAGAAAACTTAGAACACCAAACATACTGTACCTACACTTAAATGTCTTGAAATTTTTTTTTCTTTTCACAACAGCAGCAACACCAAAACCATTCAGTGCCAAGTCGTCAGAACTGTGCTTTTCCCACTGAGTGTGTCCGTCTCTCGGTAGTTACCCATCATTTGGTTCTTCCTCAAACAGTACCTCACCAGACTGACCCAGGCCTGTCCTAAACACAGTTTTTCTGAAAAGGCAAATGTCTCCTTGACCCAACCAAGAGAATTTAAAAAAAAAAAATTTAAAGTGATTTTGTGCTTATATTTATGCCTGAGGAAAAAAATGCATCTAATTTTCATTTACTTCAGATAGTAGGCTTTTTCCCCAAATTAATTACTGTAGTCTGTGCATATTGAAAATCTTTATTGCGTATTTATTCATTAGTGTCTATATGTGTCTTACTGAAGGATATTGATGGAGTGTCATCACTTGCTGAAGTTTAGAATTTCTCTGAAAATATCAACACACAAACTCTATAATTCGTCTTTTCATATATCACTCTAAATGCCTCCTTTGGCTGTTTTTATGCAGCAGCACCGGGACAAATTGTGCCCTTGTGGTAGGGAACAGATATAGGGAGAGCCTTCATTCCACCTGACGTGTCCTGGCAGGCCCGGCCTTGGACACACCTCATCATGTCTCGCCTCTGGCCACATTTTATGCAGGCTGATTTTATGTGGTCACCTCACAGATTCAGTGAAAAGGCCTCCACTGTACTCCCGTTTCTATGTCAGTATCAAAACAGCATGCTCCAGTGAATTGCTTGATAAAAGGTTGCAAATAAAGTTGTGGTTCTGAGGTGATTTTCTGTCGTAGAGGAAGCGGCTCGGGGCAGTCCTCCTAAATCACTGTGAAGAGGTTTGTCAGGGTCCGAATGTAGTCCAGAGTTAGTGCAAAGAGCAACTCGGGCTCTGCTCCCACCTGAGATTCATAAACATAGAGAATAGAAACTAAGGAGAAGCAAACTTGTCTGAAACACACGAGACTAGAAGCAGGTTGTGTTAGACCAAAGTGAAGAGCGTAAGACACCATATGAAATTATAAAGTCAGGGTGAAGAAGGTTCTGTGTCAGTGACTGGTGACTCTGGCCAAGGAGATCACTATGTTTCAAACTAGTAGTGTAGAATACTTGAAGTCAAGAGAGTTTCCTAGAGGAGAGAATTCAAGTTGTTCTAATTGCTGCCAGATAACAGATATAAGTTTACAGTTAAATTCATATTTGGATGGAAATCCAATTTCTTCTAGTAGTGTTAGAATATTCTGCTTGATATTCAGATGTAGTGTAATTCTGAATTAAATCTGGTTATTTTTAGTATATAAGCAACGAGAAGATAAGAATATCAGAATATCATTCACATTTTATTGGGGCTGCCCACTTTCTTACTAGGCCGCTCTAGTATCCAAGATCATACTTCTAGGCAGTTTTCAAGTTTATAGATTTTTTTTCTATTCTGGCCAGTTGCATGAATCAAAATGTTAGCCTGTTTTACTCTTCATTAATTTTTTTTTCCCTCCTGGAATACTGTGAAAGCCTTCCAAGGAAAATCACCAGTTTTAATTTGTTTCTATTTCTTTGTTTCAAGCAATAGCTATTGGTTCTGATTAATTTATTTAATTACAGGATGGGGGTGCCTCGGTGGCTCAGTCGGTTAATCGTCTGACTTCAGCTGCAGACCACTCAATAAGGATTGGGAATATTACCTGACAAATTAAAATTTTGTATGTAATTTCTTATAAATATAATCTGAATGCTTACAATTATATCTGTATGCTTAAAGTCAACTGTGTTAAGTTAAAAAGGGTCCAGGATACTAGGAGGGAATTTAGTAATTCTTTAGGGTTCTTGTTCTTTTATCAAAATATATGTAGTAAATGCCCAATTGTCTAGAAAACATATGGAGAAGTTAATGAATAGATCAGAGTTTCAGTCAAGTGACAGGACAACAGGTTTCCAGATGAAGTGCCAATGCTTATTTCTAATCATGATAATTTTAGAAACCTATAATCAAACCAGAGCAGTATAAAAATTAAGTGCAATGATTTTGGAATCACTGGTGTAAATCCTGACTCTGCTGCTTACTTGTAGGACACTGGGAAAATCTCTCAACCTCTCTATTTCCATTTCTTCATCTCTAAAATAATGATAAATAATATCTTTTTGCACTGATCTATTCAGTATTAAATAGGATAATATTTTTGAAGTTCTTGTATTGCATAAATGGTAGATACTATATTTTCACCAGTATTCTTAAGAGTGTGCACCATAAATCATGAGAAGACCAGTGTGTTAGCATTCTAGGGCTACTTTAACAAACTACCACAAACTAGGTGGGTTAAACAACAGAAATTTTTTATCTCACAGTTCTACAGACTGGAAGTCCAAGGTCAAAGTATTGACAGGGCTGATTCATTCCTAGGGGTCTGAGAGAAGAGCTCTGAGGGAGGAATCTCTTTCAGGACCCTCTTAGTTTGAAGATTCCATCTTCGCCTTATGTCTCTTGCCATTATCTTCCCTCCATGTGTATCTCAGTGTCCAAAGTTCCCCTTTTTATAAGGATACAAGGTCATATTGGATTATAACCCATGCCAAAAACTCCATATTTAACTGGATTACATTTATAATGACATTATCTCTAAATACGGCCACATTCTCACATACTGGGGTTAAGACTTCAACATCTGAATTTGGGGAGGAACATAATTCAACCCATGATGACAAAGTTACATTCAGAGTAGTTGAAGAATCTGTGGCTATTTTGTCTGGAGGAGAAAATGCTTCAGCATACAGAGGAAGAAGTCTGATAAATGTGTTCAAATTAGGTATAATGCACAGCATTTAAGGAAGTTAATGTTAGCTTTCTCTCTGACTCTCTCTCTCACCCAGACAAACATTTATTGGTACCTACTATGTACCAGCTGATAGTCTAGGTGATACAGATGTATTGTTGAACAGAGAAATTGTGTATTCAGGGTTAGACTTGTTTTATGTGGCTCCAGGATTAAACTCCAGCTAAATGTGTACCAGTTATGTAGGGGTATATTTTTGTTTCATAAGAAGAAATAAAATTCTAAAAGGCAGTGCTATTCAAAGATGAAATGGTCTGCTTTTGAGGTAGCAAACCTCTCAATTTTACATATTGAAACACAATTTGAAGTACCTGGCATAATTTCATAATTATAGAACCAAAGAAGAAGTAAGATAACTCAGCATCCTTTAGAATCCTTTCCTATTCTAAATTTCACTGTTTAGTAATCTCTATGCCCAATGTGGGGCTAGAACTCACAACCCCAAGATCAAGAGTTACACACTCTACTGACTGAGCCAGGCAGACACCCCTCATATTGATTTAAAAGAGGCTATGGTGGCACACCTGGGTGGTTCAGTCAATTAAGCATCCAACTTTGGCTAAGGTCATGATATCGCAGTTCGTGAGTTTGAGCCCCACGTCGGGATTCTGTATCTCCCTCTCTCTGCCCCTCGCCCATTCACACTCTTCTCTCAAAACTAAATAAACATTAAAAACTTTAAGTAAACTAAAAGGAGCTATGGCAAGGGTAGCAAGAAACCATAAGACAACAGATATGCAATCTTTGTTTTAAAGCTAAGTAATCTCTTCTGCTTCCAATTCTGTGTCTCCCTCTCTCTCTGCCTCTTCCCCACTCATGCTTTCTCTCTCTCTCTCTCCTTCTCTCTCTCAAAGATAAATAAAACATTAAAATTTTTTTAAAAAAGATAGCACTGCTGAATGGGTGGGATGGGAAGTGTTCTAACTGACAAAACTTCAGTATGGTTGTTTAAGAAGACTAGGAAAGGTGGCATAATAAAGCCATTTTGGCACTGAAATATCAAGTATCTTCTAAGTAGGGAATATGCTGCTATGACTTCTAAAAAAAAAAGGCAAATGTTAAATTTATTTTTCTCTAATCCGATATTAAGGAATATTATATCACACAAACTTAAATTTCAAAATGAAAACAATTTAAAGGCTGGTAAAATTTTAATTTTAGAATAGAGTTTAAGGACATAGATGAAGTTATGTTTGAAGCTTCAGGACTTTAAGGAAAAGTAAATATAAATTAATATAAAACCCACCATTTATAAAATGTAGATTTCAAAGTTTTTATTACTGAAGTTGTAGGATAAGGCTATAGGAAGAAAGTGTCTTATACTTTAAGGTTGTCTAGATTATATTATATTTGTATCACAGCTGATGGAGAGTAGAGACTTGACTTTTAATAAATGATCAGACAACATAAATATACAAGCTTAAACACTCAATGGTAGACTTACACTGGTGTTCCCTAAAGGTCATGTTTTCCAGTTGTGAGGACTTTGTGTAGTTCAGTCTCATATTGGCTTTTGGGTTGGCCCTGTGGCTTGCTTTGACCAATGGGACATTTGCAAGTGTGGTGCTGTAGACGCTTGATAAAGCACTTGAATGTTGGGGCTTGTTTCTTGGAACCAAAATTCACAACCTATTCTGTACATTAGTCTGGACTCTGAATGATAAGAGGTTGATATGTAAAGAGACCATGAAGGATGTGGGCCTTCTTGGGTGTTCTGGCCCCATTTGAACTCCCAGTTGCATGTAGACCCATGAGGGATTTCGGTTACAAAAGAACCAGCCAGCCAGCTAATCCCAGTCGACTCACAGAGTCATGAGAAGTAATTCATTACTATTGTCGGAAGCCACTAACTTTTGGGATGATTTGTTACTCAAAAATAGATGACAGAAATACTACTATTTAAGTTATTTTATTTATACTTTTTGTTTTCAGGTATGGTTTTATTTTGTGTTCAATAACTTCAGAAGAAAACTGTGTTTGATGAGGCAATGGTTGAATTCAATACCTACTGTTGAGTTACAGTATATTCCACAAAATCCAAATGGATAGTTTAGGCAAGTTCTATGAACATAGTCTAAATTGCTCCCTAAGAAGCGATTTTATGAAGAATGATAACATTTTAAAAGCTTCCATGAGAGCTTTAAGTAGGTTGCAACAATTTAATAAGTGATGTATTCAGTCATACATTTTAAATGCATGTAGTAGCTAATTATATTTGTGCTTATTCTTTATCATGAACTAAGTCACAAATGAGTTTTGGGGCACAATACAGATAGGAAATTCTTTGGGAAAACAAACTTTTTCCCACCAAACTGAAACCGAAGTTGATTATTTGTCCACAGATAATTCCCTTTTTAAAAGAATTTGCTTCAAGTTTCCTAAAAATTGTGATTTCTTTCTTTGTTTATGTGAACTACTATTGCATTTTTTAAAAATGACATATTAAACTTAACAGAAGCCCTCCATTATATAATACATTGTAAAAAACAAAATGTAGCTGTATTTTCAGATTATTCAAAAAAAGAATAAAGAAATAAGCATCTGTGTGTCTTGTAAATCGTGAATAAATGAATGTTACATATAATGACAGTGTAATTGTAATTTAAATGGACAAAACCAGGAAGGAAGCTTTTTTAAAAAATAATTTAATGTTTTATTTATTTCTAGGAGAGAGAGAGAGACAGCGTGAGGAGGGGAGGGTCAGAGAGAGAGGGAGTCACAGACTCTGAAACAGGCTCCAGGCTCTGAGCTGGCAGTCAGCACAGAGCCCGACGAGGGACTCGAACCCAAGAACCAAGAGATCATGACCTAAGCAAAAGTCGGACGCTTAACCGACTAAGCCACCCAGGCGCCCCGGAAGGAAGCTTTTTGAGTTTTGTTATTTGTAAATCGTTACTCCTCAAACATAAATGTGAATAGTGTGACAATAGTTTTAATGAAATTTAAATTGTCCATGCCTGTCTTTGATAAGAATTTTAGTAAGGTATTATTACTATGAATTATATAATGGTTAACAATTTATACAGTTCTTTCCCAGACTTTTTTTTTTTTAATTAATGTTTATTTATTTTTGAGAGAGAGAGAGAAAGTGAGCTGAGTCAGGGAGGGCCAAAGAGAGAGAGGGAGACACAGTATCTGAAGCAGGCTTCAGGATCTGAACTGTCAGCACAGAGCCCAACACAGGACTCAAACCCATGAACTGTGAGATCATGACCTGAGCAGAAGTCGGATGTGTAACTGACTGAACCACCCAGGTGCCCCTAACAAACTTGCAAATTAATTGGTTACTAAGTATCAAGCACTATGAAATTCTAAGGTATCCAACTAAACTCTATAGATATATTAGCATGGATCTCAGAATGTATGGTCAGTTTCATCATAGTGTAGGAAGTGGTAGATATTCTCATATACTGACTGAGAGTATTTCACAATGTGGGCACTTATACCAGATTTAGAATAATACTGCCTGGGAAAATAATCAAATGTGAAAGTATAGGGATGGGAGAACATGATATGTGCCTCCCCCCGACTTGCCAAGAAAAAAGAGGGGAAATAATTAATAATTCTAACTTATTAGTGTACAGCTTATAGGAGAGACATGGGAAGGATTGAGAGTGGAGAGGTTAGTACCATCTAGATCAAAATTGGCTTTTTAAGCCAAACTTAATCTCAAGAAATTTAGATTCTTTTCTAAGGAAATAGGGGAATAGGAAATAAGAAGCCATTAGGAGGAAGACATGATCAGATTGCATTTAGAAATTTTACTCTGACTTTACAACAGTTAATACTTTGAGCAGAGGCAAGAATCCTTGCAAGGAGCCATTAGGAGGCTTCTGGGGGAATCTAGACAATAAATGATTGAGGATGTAACTCACTGTAACTATGACATTAGAGAGAAGTGGATAGAAGTGCAAAGAGGTAGAATGAGTAGCATGTGGTGATGTATTAATTGTAGTGGGTTGAGGAAGAAGGCATGTTGAGTTTATTTTCCAAGGTTTATGCTTTGAGCAACAGGCTGCATACTGTTCCCTGTTGCATAAGCCATAAACATGTGAAATAGGAATATAAGAGGAAAAGTGAGTGTTGGGTTAATATTAATAGATTTCTGTTGATGGAGTTTCATTTGTAGGTACTTGTTCAACAGATAAGTAAGATTTATAGTAAAGAGTTGTATGAAAAATGGGTGGAGAAGAGGAGAGGGTGGGGAATAGGAACATGTGAGAACTTTAATAAAAGGCTCTAAAAGGGAGAAAGGAATCAAAAGATGGAGGAGGATGTGTGGACAAGGGACAGATTAAGGTTAAATTACTTTGAGCAGAGAGAAATACAAGACAAAGGACAGGAAATAATTAGAAGTGAAGTGTCTGAGGACACACCAGAGAACTGATTATAGAGCATATTATCTCACTTAAGTCTGCCAGTCTCTAGCACACATACAACAATAACTAATGATGTTATTTATTAGTTGTTAGATAGTAGAACTAAAACTTGAGGTTACATAACATACAAAATGTCGCTTACCTGGTATATCACAGAACTAAAACAATCCCTAGTGTCCTGACAGCTGAACCCAGAACGCATTCCTCTAGAGGCAGTGGGCACAAGGGCTATTTAATTAGTAGCTACCACAGAGTATTGAGCTCTGGCTGACAAGTGAGTCAGTCCATTAAAATAATCAATCACAGGTAATCCTACAGCTTGATAGTGAAAATTGAGTTTTCCTTTTGGATCTAAATTTCTAATCAGATAATTTTTGCATGACCGAGACAGGACCTAGTTTGTCTGACCTATTTGCAGTAAAGAAGCGTTAGTGAGATGTGTACTAACCATATTTATGTCTCTTGATTCCAGCTGTGTATGCTTCCCATTGGCTGTGTCACTTAACATTGGTCAAGAATGACCCATTCATTATCTAGTGCTCAAAAAAAAATGAACACTTTGCCTTATGGTTTTAAAGCAAGATTCACTTATTTGAACAATTATGGAAATGAATGGCAAGAGAAACACAAGAGAAAGGTGGAAAAAATTATTTGCCCTTATTTATTATTCTTATTATTTGTATAGCATTAACCCAGTATCTCCTTTTATTTCAAGGCTTTTGTTATCAAGGACAGTTTTATTCTTGGATTTAGATTATTAGATGTTTAGCATTTTTTTCTTATTTTGGACTCAAATTGCATAGGACATGCATTATTCATGGGAAAAATGTGGTAGTATGCACACTTGCATAAACATCATATGTAGGGTATTTTAAATTTAGAAATAGTATTTGGCCTTATGCTTCAGGAGACATTCTACTAAATCATACATTGACTAAAGCTTTTGATAGACATTTATCAATCCACCATGGGATGCCTGCTGTGACAAGCTGTCCTCAGGATCGGAGGATTTGTGAAGATAAAGTTACACTGGGTTTGCTCTATAAAAGGAAAGCCACATGTAAATGTGCTTGCCTTGTAACCTAACAGTACAGGTCTTGGACTTGCTGGAATAGTTTTAAGCTTAAATGACTCCTGTCTCCTAACAGATGATATATGAAACCATATATCCTGGATTTTTGTTAGGAAAATACAGTCATCATGCTGTGACTATATGTGCTGTTGCCAGCTCCTCTCCTTCAGATCTCTCCTGAATTCATGCCAGTCCAAATTCTTCCCCACCTGTGAACTAAAGCTGCCCAACATTGATCACCAGTATCTATAAAATGTCATATTCAATGGTTGTTTCTCAGCCCTTACATGAAAGGACCTATGAGACGCATTGGACAACGTTGATCACTGTCTCCTTTTCTTCAGACACTTTGCTCTCATGGCCTCCAGTGTCCTGGCTCCTCTGAACCTCACTAGTTTTTCTCTCTCAGCTTTATGGTCTTTAAATATTGGATTCCTCAGGGCTCAGTCCTTGGACTTTTACTATTCTCCGTCTGTATTCACTTTGGAAGTGATCTTATTCATACCTAAGGCTTTTAACTGTCTAATGTTAATGGCTCCAAATTTTGTATCTCCAGCATGGACTGCTCACCTGCATTTTGAACTTGTATATTCACAACTCCTTGAATATCTAACAAACATTACAAATTAATAAGTTCAAAAACAACGTGCATTTCTCTTTATCTCCTACCTCCTCTTCTCGTAATCTGTTCCATCTCACTATGTGGCAAATCCATTTTTCATGTCAAAACCTCAGTCACCTTTGATTCCTTTTTTTCTGTCACAGCTCACATCCAAGCTGTCATTGTACCTTGTCACTCTCACCTTCACATGTTTCTGCTCTCAGTACTTCTGGCCACTACTGCTTCCCTCACCTGAGTCCCTCTGTTTTGTGACAGGATCATTACAACTGCTCCCTAACTCTTTTCTCTGTTTTCACTCTTGCTGCTCTACAGACTGTTTGTGGCCTAGCTTCCAGAGTGAGCCTTTTAAAGCAGAAGTCAGATCTCTGTCCCTGACTCAAAATTCAATGATTTCCTGTTTCATGCCAGTGAAAATTTCAGAGACTTGACTGTGACCCTTTATGTCCCTACAAGATGTGACCTCTCCATCCTCACATTTGTCTCTGTTAGCCAGTCTTCTAATACTACCCTTTTTCCACCATTTCCCTCAAGGCCCCCGGTTCTGTTCCAGCCACGCCAAATCCCTACGGGTTTTCTGAGTATACAAAGCCTGCTCTCACTTCTGGACTCTGGTACTTACTATTTCTTCTGCCTGGGATATTCTTTTCCTTCTATCAGCCTGGCTCATGTTGTGTATTTTTTCAGGCATCTGTTAAAATGTCAGTTTATCTGAGAGGCCTTCTTTTATCTTTGTGTGATAAAGGGTATCCATGTTATAATACATCTACCTTTTTTGTATTTGTCACTATTTGACATGATATTTGCTAGTTTATTTATTCCCTATTGCTGTTAGATGATTACATATTTAAAATTAGAATTGCATACTTCTTATTAGACAAATAGAATAGTTAGCCCATGGAAGCAGGGACTTTATCTGCTCAGTACCTACCATAGAGCCTGATACAAGGTAAGTTCCCCACAAATATTGATAAATAAATGATTATAATAATTATGTATGTTTTCTTGTTTCCTGAATTAAACACATATTCTTCACAGATTAATTTAGCCAAAGCAAAACTCAAACACCTACCAACTATTCCTTACTTTGTAAATCACTTCTTAGCTCTCTGGCCTTGATTTCTGCATAGACAGTCCTCACCTGAAAAGGGCCAGGCCAGCAGGAAGTATAAATGCAGGTTCTAATTCACAGGAACATTGGTATTGAATCATAAACACAAACACACTTAACCTCTTGCACCTGGATTATGAGTCATGATAACTGCATGACTCACGGTAAAGGCTCAGATCTGCTGGCAGATTGTGAACTAGAACATTGACTTGAGTTCTGTTACTTACAGTACTTTCTTTCTAGGAGTGAAATGTCCATTGCAGGAATTTTTTTAATACAACAAAAATATAATTTACTTAAAAACATCTTCAGGATTGATACTTTTTATTCCATAAGCTGAAGAACTCTGCATTGGCATTTTTAAAAAAATGCTGGCAGGCAATAATGCAGAGTGACAGAACCCAGGCTTTGGTCAGCCACGGAGGCTTCGAATGGCAGCTTTTCTAGATATTAGTTACCTGAATTTGGGCAAGTGATAACCTTCCTCACGTTTTGTTCCTGGGCTATAAAATGGGCAGAAAAGTAGCATCATCCCCTAGATGCCTTGAGAACTAAGTGAGGCAACGCATGAAAAACACTTGGAAAAATTTCAGGGAAAATTCTTGCAGCTTCTTTTTCTGTTATTGTTAGCATTACACTTATTTGTTTCATTGTCCCTGAGTTGGATGTCCTCCCTTCAGTGGTCCTGGTTTGCCAGTTACAAGTGCAGTCTGCTGTTCTGAGAACAGATTTTTATGGGAAATATGAAATTGTCACCTGTTTGAGAATTACATGTTTTTTCCAGATTCTTTTTTTAAATTCTAAGTGGTTGTTACACCAAATTTTTGTGCTGTGTTGCCTCAAAAGTGTGCAAGAGTGTTTTGTCCTCCCACATAAAGAACAAAATAACTTAAAAATGATTAAATTAAAAAGCCAATTTAAAATGTTTTAAAAACAGGCTCATGGCTTTATAACATATTTTCCACCTGCAAACTAATGCTCCAGAAGTTTGCATCATGTGTTAGTGAGTATTTCTGTAGGAAAGTGCTAATGTTTCCTAAGTAGCATATGGGCTATTAGATCTGATATGTGGGAATAAGTGTGCAGCAATCTTGGAAAATTATTCAAGGATTTGTTACAGAAGTAAAAAACAGAATTTCAAGAGACACAAAAATCAAAATACCAGCTTGAGTATTATAGTGACACTTTGTAGTTATATATCACCTTTCTCAAATGCTTCACACCTATTTTCTCATTTAAAAACATCTTCTGTAAATTAATAAAGTGGCAGGTATTAGTCATCTTCTCATTATGAAGGGAAATCTTATTTGAGAGTTCACTATTCTGTTTTAGTGTGTACTATTTGAGAACTTCTTGAGTTAGCTCACGTATTTAATATTTTCATTATTTTACTGGAAGCAAGAAGGTTGTAACCATAATCTTCCAATGCAATAGCAAATGTTGAAAATATATCCTACTTAGTTCAGGTTCTCTTATATGTGAAGATAAACAGCTATTAGCACCAAAAAATAGTATTGTTATTCTATTGAGAAAAATAATTTACCTTAACTGTAGGTGAGAATATTGATAGCTATAATAACTCTAAATCAAATAAACATTTATTTATTTACTTACCTATGAAACATTTAGTATGTACTTACTATGCACCCACCGAGTGTAAGATTCTGAAGAGACAGGTTCAATTATACTCAATCTCTGCTATCAAGAAAATTATGTTTCTTGGTTACAAAATAACTCCATATTTAGTAATGATTTTAGTAGCATCATTGAATTTTAAAGGAAAATATTTCATATAAAATGAAATAATGATCCAACAATAGATGTAAATAGGAGCCAAATAAATGTTTGATAATTTGTATTCCATAAGTAGTCATTGTTAGGTGTTCAGCTGTCTAAACATATATATTCTCTGGACTTGGGCAAAATCTGTGCCATTGCCTGCCTATCTGTGTGACTTTAGACCTAGAAAACACAGGAGGAATTGTGACCCTTCTTCCTAAAATGTGTATAATGATAGCAATTGCTATCTATATGAGGGAGCATGCCCAAGATGAATGATAGCTGGTCAGCATTTCCTTCCATTCTGTATGTATATCCAATCACACATTCTAAATGTTTTCTTCTTCTTGATATGAACCTGAACTCAACTTTGATATGATATGAACTTGAACTCAGTATCGTAAGTTTTCAGAAGTTATGATACATAAAGTAAAAATGAGCCCATTAAAATTGTATTAAGATAACTTTCTGAAATGCAAGCATACAGGAATCTGTATACAATAGATTTCCCACATTTTGATATTACATTTACAAAACAATGTAAAAGTCATAGTACATTCACTTAGTTCTTTCATTCAGTATTCCCAGTTTTCCTTTCTCATGAAGACCTATAGGTTTTTGCTCTTTACTTAAGTCTTGTCTCCCTGTTCCTTCTTTGAGTCCTTTTCAGTTTAAACACATAGGTCTAACCACATTTTTTCAAGTTCATTTTTGTTTACAAGGCCAAAATTCCTCACCTCATTCTCTTTCAGTCTCACCAATCTAACATATACTTGACTCAGAATGAATGAGTATGTTATCTTTCTACACTCATACATGTGGCAACTAAAGAGTCTTGGGAGCATTGCAGAAGGCCTGGTTTGGCTTTCTTGACCACAAGTCTGCAGCCACAAATATCAACCATGTCAAAGTCCATATGAAAATTATGTCCTGTGCAGAGAATAACCAATGGCCAATTGACTCTTGTAATTTGAAGTACTACTTTTCCAGCCATCAAATTTTTTCCCAAATAATTTTTCCTAAATGGAAAGAGAACATTTGGCTATCTGACTTCAGTGTCCATTCCTTGAACCCTAGGTGTTATTACATAATCAGTACAAATTTTCGGGGCGCCTGGGTGGCTTAGTTGGTTAAGCGTCCGACTTTCGCTTAGGTCATGATCTCGCGGTTCGTGGGTTCGAGCCCCGCATCAGGCTCTGTACTGACTGCCAGCTTGGAGCCTGGAGCCTGTTTCAGTCTGTGACTCCCTCTCTCTCTGGCCCTCCCCTGCTCATGCTGTCTCTCTCTCTCTCCTAGAAATGAATAAAAAAAAAAAAAAATCAGTACAAATTTTCCAAGACTCCCTACCAGTCTCCCCAGGCCTACTTCTGGACCATTCTAAAAGAGAAACTTTTCTGATACTGGGAGGAGAAATAGTTGTCCATGATCTTGTATGTCTTTTCATTCTTAGATTGGGAATACTTGAGTTGACAGAAGTGATATAAAATATGTCAACTACACAAAGAGAAATGGTCACCTAGATAGCCCAAGACTTTGAGGCAAGCCAAAATGTTATGTGATCCTAGTAAACACCTCATATTCTGCATGGGTCACCTTTAGCAGAGAGTTAAGATAATCAGTTTTGTGTATTCATAGACAGCAATATCCAAATTCTGGAAATCCTCCTCAGAACTCTTTCCTCTCAAAGGCCATTGCTTATAACCCATAGCAAAATAGGTAACTATAAACTATAACAGGCAAGGGAAATGGATTTCCCTGATTAGCTTGGACTTATCTGGAATTTGGGGAGATTCTCATCTGCCTGTGAATATAGGGATATGTTCAGGAGGGATGGAAAATGGGATTCTGTTTAAGGGAATAGATGGTCTATGATAGGGAAACCATAGTGCATTCTATAAACAGAAATCCTTTGTGAAGCTAGTCTGGAGTTCTAGATATATCAGAAACCAATAAGAGACATACTTCAAGTTTGAACTTTAAAAATGGCTATTTGGGGCGCCTGGGTGGCTTAGTCGGTTGAGCGTCTGACTTTTGCTTAGGTCATGATCTCGCGGTTCATGGGTTCGAGCCCCACGTCCGGCTCTGTGCTGACTGCCAGCTCAGAGCCTGGAGCCTATTTCGGAGTCTGTATCTCCCTTTCTCTCTGACCCTCCGCTGCTCACGCTGTCTCTCTCTCTCCTAGAAATAAAGAAAAATATTTAAAAAAATAAAAATGGCTATTTAAAAACTAACAGGTTTCAGTTATATGGATCCACTTCAAGTTCCTCAAGAGGACCTCATTCTTGGATATCTCTATGCCTTTACACATTGCTATCATGAGGTGCCTGGGTGGCTCACTCATTTAAGCTCCTGACTTCAGCTCAGGTCATGATCTCATAGCTTAATGAGTTCGAGCACCACATAAGGCTCTGTGCTCACAGCTCAGAGCCTGGAGCCTGCTTTGGATTCTGCGTCTCTCTCTCTATCTTCCCTTCCCCCCTTCACACTCTGTCTCTCTCTCCTTCAAAAATAAATAAACATTAAAAAAGAAACATCACTATTATTGAAATCATTAGGTTGAAAGAATAGAAATTGACAGGAAACATTAAAAAAAAACTTTATTCTTTATTTTCAAGACCTATTCAAACTTGCTTGGGAGGGGGAGAGGGAGCAAATATTTTCTGTACCTTGAGAGAAATTTAGGACATGTCCAGTTACTTTTTTGGTGTTTTTCTGATCATAAAATTTCAGTAAATTCTGTATAGACAGATAATCTCATTCAATAAAAGTCCAGGCCCGTATAAAACTCAATATCATGAACTTTTCTTAAGCCTAATACTTAGCTTCCCCAAGCTCTGCCTTTCATTAAGCAGGATGCTGACAGTGGGATAGAGGGTTATGTATGAATTCTCTATTTCTCCTCTTTGTGTGTCTCCTCTTACCTATTTCCTGTTCCATCCTAGGCTGTCTTTTGGCTCCTCTGAGTTTAAGGTTGAGGGCAAAGAGAGTTAAGAGGCACAGTGTTCTTAGTTTACAGATGCTATTATGATCGGGCATTTGTGTTTTCTAGGGTTGACAGCTATTTGAAGGTGGTATTTTCATACAGCATTTCTGGGGATTTCTTAAAGCTTTCTTAACCGGGAACACTTACCTGTATCTCTCCTGGTTTGTTGTATTCTTTCTTAACGATGTGAGTGGCCGGCAGCTTAGCTACTCATTCTGTTGGGATCACAAGTTTGAAGTGAACTTAACTGATGGTTCCTAACCAGAAACTCTCATATGCCCTTGCTTTCTAGACCTGTCAAAGTGTGGCTAACCAACAGGTGCGTATCAGTCTTTTCCAGTTCTGACATCATAATTTCACGGGATTTTGAACTTTGAAACTTTGTATTCCTTACATGTGAATCCAAGAGGAGCACTCCCCCCACTTTCCTCTCAGGTTTAGGGGGAAAACAACACACCAAAGTGTGTTTTGGTTGCTTCCTCTTACTGCATTTGAAAAAAAAAAAAAAAAAAAGGAGGGCAAGGCTTTCTCAGTTGTGGGGAAAGCAGAAAGATGTAAAACTATGACGTTATCTATAGCAGTAAAGGTGAAGCTTCTAATAAAACAATACTTTTTTTTAAATTTTTAACCTCAGGGCCCTTTCAAAAATCAAGTCAAAAATTAGAGCAGTGGTTTATTTTTATAAAATTAGTGTATGGAGTGTATGGTAATATTTTTCACTATGAGCTGTTACGTAAGTGCTACCAGTTTGAAATGCTGCATGAGTTTTAATGGTGCAGGAGTGGAATGATTATCTTATGTGGGCAGTTGATAAATAGGCAACTAAAACTGAAAAAAAAAAGAGAAAATTAGAACTGAAAAATTAAGACTACGTGGTGAATTGATATGCAAATTTGAGATAAGAATTAACTATTTTAGGGAGAGTAGACTAGAATGTCGAGTGACTCTGGTTATGGATCTGAAGGAGGTTCAGCTCAAGCCACCTGGCTTCTATGGTTCCCACGGTTGAGTTTATGTCTTATGCAAGTTTTGCAGCTCTTCCCTTCCTTTATCCAAACTCCATGTATTTACTTCCTAAGGTGGTGCGTTAGGTCCTGGTCAACTTTATCAGATAAAAGATGTTGATGCTAGCTAGAATCTTTGATTCTTCGATGCTAGCTAGCTCTCTGGTTGATGTTTTGAAATAGATAAACAGAAGTTGGTATTCAGTTCAGAGAATAATCTTTATGTACTCTGTTCCAAACAGTGTATCATGACAATGATGATACAAAGATAAAAACATGACCTCTGCCACTGAAGACATTGATTTAAGGGTGAGACAGAAAAGTCAATTGTGGAATTCTCCCTAGATGAATTGCAGAAAAGATATTACAGGAAAGAATGGTGTGTTTGGAACTCTAGCAGGCTGTTCTCTATGAATGGTGCCCTCTGGAGTTGTGCAATGCAGTGGCTTTGGGGATAATTGATTTTTAACAGTTGTTTTAATATAAGTTTCTAAATATTTGAGGCAAAATCCTTTCTTCCATTTCCACTTTTAAAGACTTACTCTGGCAGTAGTGGGGATGAGGATAATGGCACTGGTGAAGATGGATTGACTAGTTTTGATTTCAGTGAAATTAATAGACTTTAAAAAATGCAGCTGCAAAATCCTGTAGTAAAGTTGATTAATCCTATTAAAAAAAGATGAATGAAAGAATATACTTCCTTGGAAGAAATAAGTGTGTATAATTCAATATAATTCAAGCAGAATTGCACTTGATAGAATTTTGTCCGAGATTGTTTATGTTTTATCAAATCAAATGGAAGGGTATACCATATGAATGGGCTTAAAAGTATATTTAGTAAATACTAACTTCAAAATAATTGGTTGGATTCAACTGATATTGGGTGAATACAAGATAGGAGATTTCAAGTATATATTGACTATTCATTTCTCTTATTGACAAAGTAGATAGACTTATTATTTAATTTATTGTATTGAAAAATTCCCAAGAAGTTATACTATGTATACTTCTCTCTTTTTTATTTGTTTATATGTTTTCCTGGCTCTTTTACTTTCTGTCATATCTCAGCCTCAGAACGTAATGTTTAAAATTTTTGAAAACATACTAAGATATGATTACTGTAGTATGATATTTGAATTATGGTAAACTAAATTATAGTAGGGCACTGGAAAATTGACAATTTCTAGTCTATAGTAAGTGAGTAACATACTTTAGAGAAGAAGAAAATAATTTCACAAAGGAGAATAATAAGGGACCAATGTAGAGATATTGGTTAATGACTGGTTTAACTGTAAAGAACAGAAACCTCTACTGTGAGTATTAAAAACATAGTAGTTTATTTTTTAATACATTGTGAACAGCCTGAAAGTAGGCCATTGTGGTAAATATGTACATTCAGTTATTTAAATGTGATGAAAATAATTTAAATTTAAATGACTTGCCCTGATTCAGTAAGTAGGGATACAATATTACTATATAACATTTAATATTATTACTATTATAATATAATTATTTACATAATCAAGGCTTCATTACCTTTAAAAAATAAGTTCAATTGTGCTTATTTTTAAGTCCTCCCACTCCTTCCCTGAATTAACCCAAAGTTTCTGGAGTCTCACTCTACCAAGTGGCTTACTCCTATTTCTGGAAGATCTTTTCAGTTTACCAGTTTTTAGCACTTGTTACTACATAGTATCCCAGTTAGTGACTGACTTCTCATGGTCTCAGGGAAGTTGCTTTTATAATTAAGGAATGAGTCCTGACCTGGTCACAGTGACTTCTGGCTTCAGGTTTAAATTTGTTTGGCTTAAATTTATGTGCTCAACCAATTTTTAAAAGCCTGAACAGAAGGCAATTAAAAGACAGTTGAAGAAAACCAGCAATGACTTACTTTTATGGTGGTATTAGAAAAAATGGAGAGGAGACAGGGTCCAAGGTTTTTTAGTTGGTAGAATCACAAGATTTGGCATTTTGGGGGAGTGTTAAGAAATGAGAGACTTCAGCATTTTGTATTGAGAAACTGTGTGGATAAAAGGTATCGTTTCTGGAGACAGGAAACATTTCCTGAGTTAGGAAATACTAGAAGAACAGGCATGGAGAAAGAAAATGGATATACCTTGAAATATACTGAGTTTTCTTTCTTTCTTTTTTTTTTCACTTTTATTTATTTCTGAGAGAGAGAGAGAGAGACAGCATGAGCAGGGGAGGGTCAGAGAGAGAGGGAGATACAGAATCTGAAGCAGGCTCAGAGAGAGAGGGAGATACAGAATCTGAAGCAGGCTCCAGGTTCTGAGCTAGCTGTCAGCTTAGAGCCCAATGCGGTGCTCAAACCCACGAACCCATTGGATCATGACCTGAGCCGAAGTTGGATGCTTAGCCGACTGAGCTACCCAGGCACTCCTGAAATATCCTGAGTTTTCATTGCTTCTGAATAATCTAAGCATATAGAGGGATTAATTGATGTCTGGATATACAGTTCTGAAGTTTAGGTGAGAAGACTAGATTAAAATTGAGGCTTTGAAGTCATAAATGTATGTACACTCTTCATTCCATAGTTATAATTTCTAAAAATCTAGATTCACCTTATTGGAATGAATTGCCCTTAATTATTGATCTCCTGCCACTGAAACAGATTGAAGCAGAAGTTGAATGATCTTTAGTGACCATTATAGTAACAGAACTCATTGGGAAATTCAATTATTTTCCCAAATTCTTTTTTAATTATATAAAAATTAGGAAATTCCAAATACTAGAGGATATGAACAATATCCCCCTCAAAGAAGTCAATGCTTATGTAATTTAGTAGAGGTCTTGTTCAAAGACCATGAAGGAAGCTCTTGTGTAACCCCTAGTGATAAGACTCAGAGCATATGCAATGTTTAATTGCTTATAGAAATGACAGATGAGAAAAACAGTTCATAACGTAGGAAAGGAGGAGTTACAAAATGAAAAGGTCATGGGAGTTGAGAGTCAGACAGATTTTTGTTTAAATCCTGGTTATGCAACTTGTCTGCTACTTAACATTGGACTGCATATTTAATCTTTAATTTTTTTCACATGTTATATAAGGGAAATGACATCACTTGTGGTGAGCCTGAAATATAGTATCTGTAATATGCTTACACAGTGACTTTCATATATGTGGGGCCTAGTAATATAAAATGATTACTACTACTAGCTGTTTACAGTTTATGACTTAGATTAAACAAATTAAAATAATTTATACAAAATCAGCATTTTGGATAAAGAGCTTAATATAAGTGTAAGAGGTGAATTATATATATTATATATATAACATATATAATATATACTAGCTGAAAATATGGACATATGGAAACAATACAATTTTTACTAAATTTTTATGGTTATCTGATAACTTTTACATTTTAAAAAACGTATTTACTTAATTTTCTTCCATGTTATGATTTGTGTAAGTGATGAGAAACTCAATTTTAGTGACCAATCGAGAATAAAAATAACTGGTTTATGGTTAGATATAAAACATTTAGCTATCCCTGAACTAGAACTAATATTAAGATACAGTGCTCACCTTTAAGCTAGCTAAACAAGGATCTAAGCCATGCATAATGTTAATTTTTGTGTTATTCAGGGGTCCTGATACCAAATCATAGAAAGTCAGGAAAGGAAGAGAATTCAATGTCTTTTTGTCTGATCTCCTCAAAGGAAGGTTGAAGGCTGAAGCTCTGAGAATACATGCCTGATGATCATGACCAAAGTCTCCTCACTTCAGTCCTTACCTCCCCTTCACACATAGTCTACACCACAGCAAAAATTTGTCACAAATCTACATGATACCCCTTTGGATTCTAAAGCTTGAGCAAAAATGTTGGGAAAAGTTGTGTTGAATAAAACTTATGTTGCCTTCTCTTAGATATAGACTAATTATTTGATGAATATATTATGATGAGTGCATTGTGTCAGTCTAAAGTGATCCGTACAGTTTCCTAGGCCTATAGTTACAAGGCTATGGGTTGGCTCATCATGATTAGATCCATTCTGTTTACTTTGAATTTTCCCAGATCTGAAGCTTGTTCTTGTTATAAGTCTTCAATGGTAAGTGATACTACCTCTGCACCTGAAATCCATTTAAATTCTCAGCTGCCCATGGGGGTACAACTCAGGCTCTGCATTGTTTTGAAATGACCAACTCCAACTCCCAGAACACTGGGCCATCTAGATAGCTGCTGAGTAGTAGCCAATTATCTCACAGATGTTCCAGCCAGACACTTCCCGGCTTCAGGGCAGGAAGTGGTATTTAAAAATGGAGATCTCACTTCTAGATACAGATAATTAGCAAATAC